CTCCCTCCCCCTGACTCCCCCAAGGCCCCTGTCCCCTGGGAAATAACACTAACCACTCGCTCTTGGGAATCTGCCCCCAGGTTCCTCCATCTGGCACCCGGCATGTCGACAAGCAGCCAGAACCGAAGACAAGAACAAGGTTGGTGAATTCACTATGTTTTTGGCTACACCTTCGCCACTTGGGTGTGATTGTCATACGGTTAAAAGGACACTGAGCAGCCTCCGCAGGCTGTGGGGCAGGTGGGCGGGGCCCGGGAGGGTTCGGGTGTAAACAGATAGCTCTGGGGGAGGAAGGGCAAGGTGGGCAAGGGGCATCCTGGGGCTCCCTGCCCTGGCCCTCTGACCTGGTCATTTGTTCAGGGGATACTGATGGCTGCATACGTTTGGGGACAACTTCGAAGTTAGTGGGTCACCACCATTTCGGCTCAGTTACCAGAACTGTCATCAGAATGACAAGCACTGGGATTTGGGACAGTTGAGAGTGGCCTCCCCACCTCCTCCCTCCCACCTGCTGCCACCTCCCTCTCTGTCTCCTCAGTGCCATCTGCAAAGGCCCTGTGGCCACACATGGCAGCAGTCACAGGCTCTGGGAGTTAGGCCCTGAGCGTCAGGGGGGACGTTGCTGTGCCTCCTACAGTGACAGAACTGACGGTCACTGTGTGTTATGTACGTGGCCGGGGCTGCAGTCCGTGGCCGCACCCTGTCACTGTCCCTCACCCTCTCATGTGACTGACTCTATGTACTGCGCCTGCGCCACCCGGGCCTCAGCAATGAGCTAAGTGGCACCCCCAAAGCCACAGTTCATGACCCTGCAGTGACCCCCGGGGCCTGACCTTTGTCTGTGGACCCCTCTATCCAGGAGGTCAAGCCGAGGCCTGCCACAGGGGCCCTCACACCAAGAGGCCTCCAAACCACATGCATGCCTGGGCATGTGCATAGGGGAAACGGACCGGGGCTGAAAAGGGGGACCAGGACCATAGCAGGCCCACTAAGAACAGATCAGGGCGGCCGGCACTGACTCCTGGGTCCCGGACCTGGCTGCTGAGCTGGCGCCCGGGCCTGCAGGGAGCCCAGCTCTGCCCGGCTCTGCCCGCAGCCTAGAGGCCGGCTCCGTGCTGAGCGTGGGTGCCCGCCCGGCTGAAGGGAGGCTCTGGCAGGAGGGACAGGAGAGAAGGGAGAGGTCAGTGCCCGGCTGCGCAGCCAGAGTGGCGTCCTGGGCTGTTCCCGGAGAAGCTGTGGGAACATTTCGGGCGGAGGCTGGCAGCCTGAGAGCAGCTGCCCCCTCAGTGCTGTGCCCTGGGCCTGGCAGGGCTCGGTGCCCGCTCCTCTGTGCCCTGGGACAGGATCCAGGCCCCAGTCATGCACTACTTGTCCCTGCTTGTCCCTCGTTTCACCCT